CCGCTGACGGGTGATTGCTGTGGCAAAGATCGATAGAAATAGCTGAGAGACAGGCGAAACAAAGGACCCGCATGGTGTGGTGGTGAACGCGTTACTCCCCGGAAAGGACAATAGCGCGTTCGTTCCCCACCATAGACACCTGCGGTGCAGAGTCTTGAACGTAGCAGGGAAATCAGCTGGTACTGACGTCACTCATTGGTTTCATAGGTAAAATCATTTGTTGCATTTAAGTTTGAAGTCATGAGAATGAAAAGCACCACTCAAACGTGAAAGTCTGTACCCGCCCTGTTGGACTACTGTCTAACGAAGATCTAAAACGCTACATGGTTTTGTTTCATTTTTAAATTGTTGTTAGTGGTTAAACTTACTATTTGCATGTTTTATTTCCTCGGATCCCAGAGATCGATGCATGAATCGAAACATTAGACAGCATCCGAAGAAAATAACGGTGATGATACCAAACATCACACATATGAGGAAAACAGTGGTCATACTAAAAATCAGCATTATCAGTAATTATCCATTATCAGTGATATCAGCATTCGTAGAAAAGACCTCGGCGGGTACAATAACATTTTTTTTGAAAAAAAATTTCTTTGAAAAATTCTTTTGTGATAGAATCTAGTGACTTCTTGAGCGGATAAAGTTGTGCTGCATGGAGTAGCAAAAATCTAGTAGACTTCACAAAATCAGATTAATAAAAAATGGTAGAACTTTAACGGTGCCGAGATAATTGCAAAACTCCGGACCTGGGTTCGTTGCCGATTTGGGCCCCCAGATCAGTCCCGCTGACGGGTGATTGCTGATGGCAAAAGATCGATAGAACTAGCTGAGAGACAGGCGAAGCGAAGCACTTGGATGGTGTGGTGGTGAAGTACGCTGCGCCCCGGTAAGGACAACAGCGCGTTCGTTCCCCACCGCATACACCTGCGGTCTGGAGTTTTGCAAATATCTCAACACCATTGGAGTTTTATTTCACAATGTATACCCTGTCGTTAAAAAGAGTAGGCAGTAAATAATAAGTTAAAAAATGGTTGAAATGTTACACATCATGCGATAATTCACTTTCCGGTTAAATTAATCCACTTTTCTTTCTTAAATGAACAAATCTCGCTAGATTTTGAAGTTCATCGATTGAAATAGAGGTAGTTGGAAAATAAAGATCCTTGGCAATCGTATGGAAGATTAATTCAATAAAATGCCAATTTTTCCGTCTTGGCTTTTCTTTCTGAAGATCGAAAGTATTGAATAAATGTGCTTCGTCCACCAGGACACAATGCCGCCCATGTGTGCACCGCTGACACTTGCGGCAGCCGCTTTTGAGTAAAGCTTTTAAAAAATTGAGATTTGTGTCTCATTCTTCGAAGTTATTAATCTCAAAATAATCCAAGCAAAATAATATTCTTAGAAAATTTATACAGACCAATGCAGCGATGGGCCAAAACCTATCCTACAAGCTGAAAAGTTTCCCGCATGATAAAACCTAAGTTGTCGAAGATTCATTGGTACTCACCGAAAAGACCAGAATCAGGAGTGAATTATAAGCTATTAGAAAAAAAAGTGAAACAACTCACTCCACTTCGTTGTGAACACCTACAAAACAAGTCTAAAAGGAAGCAGGCATCCCTTACTTCACTCCTCTGCAGAAAAATGTTCAAAATCTTGATCGAAACGATCATTTGGGGCTAAACATAATGACCTTACAGGATTACGTTATGCCCCAAGGAACTTTCTACAACTTTTCCAAATTTTCATGTTGCCCGTTTTTCTCTTTTTTCCTTTTCAAACACAATTTTCTATTGTAATAAAACTGTTTTATACAGCATTCGAAAAATAAAGAGTAGACAACAATACTGCGTAGAATGGAAAGAATGGAGTGGATAGAAGACGTGTCCTTTAGTTCGTCGAAGTATTGACGTTGTTTTTGGTTATGATTTGAAAGGAAGATGACTACAATGGTGAATTCCGGCGCTGTTTTTGAAATAGTTTGTTTTGGTCACCACGCTAATGTTCTCCGCTCCAAAAGTGCTGCAAACAGCTGACGAACTTGCAGTGGGGATTCGAATCTGTGATGACCGTTATCGGGGCTCACGTGTTACCCACCACATATGCCGTGGCCCTTGGTTTACCTTTCTCTCAGCCATGTTTTTACTCTATCGGTGCTATCAGCAAAAATTCCTCAACGGGAATGAGTTTAATGAGGAAAGAACCCCTTCAGTTGTGGTTTCAAGTTTTGCTCACATTTCAATATCCTTATCATTGTATTTCACATAGCACGTACGCTGCAGTAAAAAAAAGAATAGGCAGTAAGTAAAAGTTAAGACATTGTGAAATCAAATGCAACTTCGGCTTCGCTGGGCTTAACAACGATTTGTGTTCCCTAAATCGTCCCCATTGATGGGGATGACTCATAGCAGCGATAGATTAAAAACGTAGTTGAGAGAAAGGCAAAGGGAGGGCCTCGGTTAGTGTCATGAATAGCAGGTGAGCCCTGTGAAGGTCGTCACGGGTTCAAATCTCAACTAAGGTTCAGAGTTTTGCTCGTCTCTCAGCGCCCTTGTCGTCCCTTTACAGTTAGTTGGTGAGAGAGATAGCCAAGAAAATGAAGGCGTTATTGCCAATTGGCTATCAAAGGAAACTACGTAACATTCGATATATCGGAACAACTACCCACATCCAATAGGCAAAGGCCATAGATGAAATATGCCTGACAGAAAATATGTAGAACCATTGGTCGCTCGTCTCTTTCAGATTATGCCAGATTTTTTATTTGTTTCGCCTTTTCCTCTAAAATCTAGATTCTGTGAAATGAAAGGCTTTGGAAAAATAAATAAAAAGGTTTTAGAATTACGTATGATGGCTCTTCGACAGAGTTAAACAAAGGATTGTGCAAGGATATCATTCTTTAACTTTTTTCACACAAGATCAAATACCTCAAACCAACTTAGTTTTTGATCCGCCAGGATTTTGATTACAGACTTCGCAAAGTGGAATGATGTCGAGCGAGGACGCTTATGAGCATTTGGTACATCCTAAGACTAAGTAAAGAAATTGACGCCTTGGATTGACATTTATTATCGCTGATCTACGCTATAAAACTGAATAACAAAGGGTAAAAACGTGGTCGGCACGACGTCCCTTTGTTTGTTACAAAGAAAGTCCCACAGTTCGCGCGGTGTCTAGTAGTCTTCTCATTACCTTGAGATCTTCCTTATAGGTGGTTCACTTCGCAGTCGGTGATCTATCAAGCTCCATTCCACGACTCATTTCGTGGCATGATCTGCTCATGCTATGCTTCGCTATATACTAGGTCTGCTATCTGTTAAGTGGTTTTCTTGGAATGGTAACTAGTGATGATTTTCATAATTTGTACTTTTTTCTTCAAAGCCGTTTATCCTGACGTTCATCATTCGTACTTTCTCACCTTCAAAGTCGTCAATCATGTCCTACACGATTACACGTACAGTAGTCTCACCATTCGGGTGAGAAATTGTCTTGATTCTTTTCCTATTGGCTCAAAGGTTGAGCAACTTCAGCCTCGTCTGAGCTCCACTTGACAATTCGTAAAATGGCAACGATAGTTTCATCAAGGGTTAGCAAGTTTTCATCAACACGCATCCGTTTTCGATGCAATTGAATTTCGTTATCCAAATCGAGCAGTAACAAGTAGCTGACACACGGTGGTGGGGGCATTGGTGAACACACCGTTCTGTGCTTTACGTTGAGCTATCAGCTAAAGCGTTTATTTTCTTTAAGTCGATGGAGGCAAAGCTTTCTCAATAGGCAACCAAGGATAGACAAGAAAACCGTTCGGTTACCTTCACTGGCGAAATAACATTGCACGAAATCTTAGACATATCTATTCTTGCTTTTACGCTCGAAAGTATGTGACGATTCGGCCCAAAAGCTCGGCTGCTCACATTCATTTGCTTCAACATTTCCATTTAAACCCGAACCTCACAGAAGAAAATCCGAATTGGTTATCTCCAGCAAAAAAAAAGATTGAAGTTCTTCTTTTCTTTTCCTTTCCTCGGGGATACTTTTCTCGGTATTGTTCCATATTTTTGCATGAGTTGGTAAGAATCCCTTCTTGTTTCAGTGAGTCGATAAATATTTTGTTCACCCAAGTTCTGGTCGTTTCGACAAACTGTTCGTTTCTTCTCACCGAGTTCGGCTCGACGTGCCAATCATACAGGGAAAATATCGTCCAGGAATGGACTAGGTGGTAAGTTGTCATTATTGAAGTGGCGCGATGAGTAAAGAATAGATGCGTGAAAACGCTTAGAACATTTACCATTTCGCAACGAGATCTCTTCTCCTTGGATAATAAATATTCTATTATTAGGTTACCATTTATCGTTTTTAATTGTTCTGTTTTGTGAAACAAATGTTTTTAAATTACAGGGACAATAAGGTCACGTTTATCCTGCCTTTTATTTGCAACGGAACAAATGCAGCAATAAAACGTTATTTAAGAAGGGCTAGTCTAGAGAAATTAGTAGAAGTGATAGAACTACCACCAGACACTCTGAGACGCCAGCTAGCTAGCTCGTAACCGCCTATATGATCGTCTATGTACAAGAAAAATTTGCATAATCTGCTCTAGTGGTAGAGATGGTGATTGCATGAGTACGGGTACGGTGTACCTAATCTCTTGTAAGGTATGTGGGTACGAATACGTTGGCGAAACGGATAAACCACTCTGAGTCCGTTTAAAAAAACATCTAGTCAGTAAATTTAAATTAAAACCAAACACCCCACCAGGCGTGCATAGTATGCAGAAACATAGTGCAGAAGACTTTGAACTAGAAGTCACTATCCCAGTACAAGAATCCAAAACATCAACGCGTAAAACTCTTGAAGCGCTTTGAATTAATTCCAAAAATGCAAAAATGAACAGGAAACAGAAGTGCTTTGTGATCACGTGTGATCTTGCGCCATTCGTCAAGCTTATTCTATGAACTGACCTGGGCACATTCCTCGCTCATGTAATACTCCGTGCGGCTTTATCCACTGATTAACTGGGATACTCACGAAGAATAAGACGGTGGGTGTTAGTAGCTGTTTATTATGCGGATGGAAATTTATGTGCTAAGCTAGCCTTTTATTTGTTGCCTACTATAATTTTTCAGGGCAAGCTATGATGTGAAATAGAACCACAAGGATGATGCGTTGATGCTTATGTGATTATGTGGTGATAATGGTTATGCGCTAAGTATTATCTGCTAATGTTACGAAACTGTTTGGCTGGGTAGATTGCATGTCAATTTGACCCATCCAGGCTCTGAAGAAGGCGAAACCGCCGAAACGTCAGCGATTGTGTGCTAATAAATGCTATAATATCAACCTCACGTTTGCTTATTGAAGAAAAGTTGAATTATTCGCATGCCGATTTTAGCTATTCACTACTAAATTAAAAGGATTGATCGACCACGGTGAAAAGCTGAACCGCCATTGTATCTATAATATTTGTATCAGCACTGCGTTACACATCTTGTAAAATAAGAGAAGAAGCAGGACAAATAAAACTATCAAAAGAGCGTACATTTAAGTAAGTAGTAATAAAAACGTGTCCATCCGGAAGGCCAGCTACGAATAAAAGAATACCAAGAATCACCACCGTCTT